GCCCGGTGGCGCACTGGATAGTGCGCCGCTTGGGAAGCGCGGCGGCGCTCCCGCCCGAGGGTTCGGATCCCACATGCGGACCAGTTCCCGCTCACTGGTTGAGCAAGGCACGGGAGCAACGCCGAGGGTTGCGATCCCATTGCTGGTCCCCGGTCCGGTACGGGGGCAACACTGAGGGTTGCGATCCGTTGCCGGACACGGAAAAAGACAAAAGACAAAAAAAATAAAAAATAAAAAAAATTTAAAAAAAGAATGTTATTTATATTAGCATGCAATAGGTTTATTATTGTTCTTAAATGAACTAATAATTTTTTTAATTTCTCAGTTTTAACTTAAAAATTGAAAAAAGTTTATAATAACCCACATAAAGCTCTTTGAAATCCTCAATAATTTTTAAGAATGTAATGGGATTCTGAGACCAAAAAGTTTGAAAAATGCTGCAATAGAAAAAACCAAAACCAAAAACTGATTCTTTAAATACTAAAAAAAATATAATAAACACCTGGCAAGAGCAATCAAAAATATTTTAAAGGAGAAGGAACATTTGTTAAAAATAACCACATTAAAAAAAAAAAAAATCACTACAGACTCTGTTGACATTAGAAAGATAAGATCATTTCATAAACTTTTATTTTATTTCATGCCAATAAATTTGAAAACTTATTAAAATGCTAAAAACCCTAACTTACCAAAATAGGTAATTCATAAAATTTAGGAATATGTAAGTTGTTCTATAACCATTAAAGAAATAATAAAAACTTTCTCACAATGAAAACTCCAGATCCAGATGTCTTTTCTAAGAATCATACCATTCACTTAAGAAATAGGAGCTATATGATGCAAATTCTTCCACATAAGAAAAAGTAGGAAGATTCTGCAGCTCATTTTACGAAGCCAGCATAACATTAAAATAAAAACTAGACAAAGGCATCATAAGAAAGGAAAATTACAGGTCAATTACACTCATGAACAAAGATATAAAAATACCAATAAAAATTTTAACAAACTGAATACAGCAATTTTTTTAAAAAGACCATGCCCAAGTGGGTCGTGAACAAGGGTTAATTACAAGAATGCAAGCTCAACTGAGCATTAAAAAGTAAATCACTGTAATTTACTACATTAACAGATTAAAGAAAAAACTTATGATCATCTCACTAGATGAAATCAAGGTATTTGATAAAATTTAACATCTACTCGAGATATAAATTCTTACTTAGCACACCAGAAAAAAACGGGAACTTCCTTAATCTGATAAAAGGTATCTACGGAACACTACAGCAAACATCATACTTAATGGTCAAACAGTGAAAGCTTTCCCTTTGAGATCAGGAACAAGACAAGGATGTCCTCTATCACCACTTCTATTCAGGAATGTACTGGAGGTCCTAGCCAGAGAAGTAAGGCAAGAGAAAGAAATAAAAGATGTAAGAATTGGCAAGAAAGAAACAAAACTCATTAATCATAAATGATATGATTGTGAATACAGAAAACTCAAAGTATCTACAGAAAAATAGTTAGATGTAAGAGTTGAGCAAGATCATGAGATTCAAAATCAACTGCATTTCCATGTAAACATGGAAAACTGCTATTAGAAAATAAAACTTAAAAAACAAAGACTCAATTTAAAATGGCCTCAAAATATGAAGTATCTAGCAATAAGTTCAATAAGAGATGTGCAAATCCTTTACAGGGAAAATCATAAAATTCCACTGACATTAAAGGACTAAACAAATGAAAATATGTGCAACGCTTCATGATTTGGAAGATTCAATTTTGTAAAGATACTGATTCTCCCCAAATCAATTTAGAGTCAAGGTAATCTCAATGAAAATCCCAACAGGATTATGTATGTGTGCATATAACTTGACATGCTGAGGTTTAAATACATATGGAAATGCAAAGAACCAATAGCCAAGATATTCTTGAAAAAAAATAAGAACTTCTCTAATAAATATTAACTGTGACAAGATAGTGGAATTTAATAAAACAGACCAATGGAACACAATAGAGAGATCAGACACAGACCCACACATATATGGATACTTGATGTATGACAGGTGATGACAAAATAAAGAAAGGATGTTTTGTTTTGTTTTTCCAATAAATAATGCTGGGACAGAAAACTCTACACATGAAAACAAATGAAACTGAATATATTCCTCAAATTATTCAGAAAAATAAATTTTACCTAGCTGGTAATCAAGTTCATGGCAAAAGCCACATGAAGAACTATTTCAAGTTCAAAACAAAATTTACTGAATATCCCCAACAGGATGTATTTTAAGGACAAGCATCTTATTATTGGTGGTAATCTTGGTATTGTTATATTGAAAGTATTTTTTATATATTATAGTATAACGCAAACAAGCAACCATAGTAATGTCATTTAAGGAACCAAGATTTTTAGAGTAAGAGAGGAGATATTAATATATAAAATCAAAACTAAGTAAAATTCTTAAGTGCAAATGTCAGTAAGAACTCAATACTTTATTTCTCTTTTTGTAAAAAAAAATGTGTTTATTTGTTCTGCCCACTACAAAGGCATGAAAACCCAGTAATAATGGAGGCCTTAAGCATTCAAACTGTGGTTTCTAAATACCAATTCATGTGTTTATTTGTTCTGCCCACTACAAAGGCATGAAAACAATGAAAACCCAGTAATAATGGAGGCCTTAAGCATTCAAACTGTGGTTTCTAAATACCAATT